CAATGATTTTTATAATTATAGGAAAAAAAACTCAAAAAACAGAAAATTCAACTACAAACTACTCAAAACCAAGAAAGCTCAGATCAAAGCTGCAGCTTTGATGTCCAACTCTAAAATAATTGACATATTTAAGCTCTAATTTTTTTCTGTTCTTCAGATTTTCTTCACGTTTGTGATGAAACGTTTCTTAGATAAACAGCGCCATCTGTTGGTGGAGACAGGAAAAACAGCCGCGCAACCAGTGATGGCGCGTTTCTCCTCATCCATCTTGGTCCGGTTCTGCCGCTAAAGGAGACTGCAGCGGGTCAGATGATCAGCTGCCCCCTCTACGTGACCTTCGCACCTCCAGAGCCTTCAAGTGGGCCAGAAAGATCCTTCCAAGCCTGAAATAAACATTTAAAGCTGCTTTTCTTTCATTATGGGCCACAGTCCATTAGAACCAAGATCAGAACCAGGGCCTCCACCCACAACACCCTAAAATGTGCACATCTGTTTGCATTTCTGCATATTTTTGCACATTTTCCTTTAAAGACTTAAACTGTGTTGTAGTTTGGTGTAAAGAGGAACCAACAGGAGGTCTCGAAGTCGGAAATGGATCACAAACTAAACTTTCACAACAAAATTAAACACAGATAAGACTGGGAACACTGGGAAACCAGTAAACAACCACAGGATGAGGAGAAACTGGGGGTGATTGCTGAGTGGGAACAGCTGGGAAAAGAAAACTAGATCCGAAATTTACCTGAAAAGTGGCTGAGAGAATGAATGAATGAATGAATGAATGAATTTCTGATCGTGAAAAATCACTACGCTGCAAAATCAAACACCAGAAACAACAACATCTATCAATTTAAACTAATAAACATCTTCTGAGACTTTTCAGACAAAAATAAAAAAACAAATGAAGCAGAAAACAAAAAAGTTAAGTAAAACTAAGTTTATCTGAACAAAAACATCTGGAGGAACAAACTTCCGTGGTTCTGAAGCTTCCAGCAGGACATCGCAGGATCACGGGAATAAATTACATTCCAAACGTGTTCAGAACACAACATCTTGTGGTGGTTATAAATACATTTTCCACATGTTAGAATTTGTTCTGACAACAGTGTTTATGTTTTTGTTCACAACACTAAATACTGCTGAGAGCAGATCCCAGACCAGCTGATTTGAGACCACATGGTCCCACGTTTGGAAGAAGCACACGCGTGTCAGCAGATTCATGCTGAGCCTCACGCCACGACAGAGGCTTTACTTCAAATCCCACCTTAAAAGATGAGCACGTTTGATGTCTCCCTCAGAGGCCTTCGGGTCTTTTCTTCAGGATATTGATGCTGTTTGGATCTTCATCGTTCTTGTTTGTATCGAAGCATCTGCAGCTTCTGGAGCAAAATTCTTCCAGGAAAAATAAATCCTGACTCTCCTGTTTTCAAAACAGCCGACGACGTCAACGAGGACCACAACAGTAAAGAACATGTTTAGTTTGAAAATATTCCCGTCACCGTGGTTTCACTGGGATTTTACATTTAAATGAGGATAAAAAATGTTTTTATTTTTTTATGAGGGGATCGATGTTAAAGGAGTAAAGCTTTGATGTAAAATGGTGAAAAATAACGTTTTTATTTAAACTAATTAAAACATTTACAGTGGGGCAAAAAAAAGAGTCTTTAGCGCAATCAAAACTCCCAAGGTCAAAAACGACGAGCACGTCAGTCACCAGCTACGGGTGAAGAGGTAAATGTGTAAAACAATGTTTAAGGGTGGCGAAAGTTTGCAACCAGTAAATGAGTTTTGTCCTCACAGGCTCACGTAGAAGGAAACATGGCGCTTAATTTGGCCTTGTCAGAGACTTAGACCCTCGCCGATGTGTTTTAGACCCGATTTTTATGGTTAAGCCAAACCATATTTCTAAACAACTGCATCATTTCATGTATTTTCTATGTTTCGATGGATGTGTTGGGCCCTAAATTATTCATACTATACATAAACGATATATGTAGTGTTTCCAAATTGATAAAATATGTTTTGTTTGCTGATGATACCACTTTGTATTGCTCAGGTACAAATCTAGAACAGCTTCTGACTACAGTGGAAAAGGAGTTAAATATATTAAATAACTGGTTTGATATAAATAAGTTATCGTTAAATATAAAGAAAACAAAATTGATTGTTTTTGGCACTAGACAAACGAAAAATATATCTAAAATCAGGGTTCGTGGAATTGAAATTGACCGGAAAAGGGTGGCTTGCCAATTCTGGGTCGGGGAGATGTCCTACCTCAAGTGGAGGAGTTTAAGTATCTCGGGGTTTTGTTCACGAGTGAGGGTAGGAGGGATCGGGAGATCGACAGGCGGATTGGTTCGGCGTCTGCAGTGATGCGGACGCTGAGCCGATCTGTCGTGGTGAAGAGAGAGCTGAGCCAGAAAGCCAGGCTCTCGATTTACCGGTCGATCTACGTCCCAATCCTCACCTATGGTCATGAGCTTTGGGTAATGACCGAAAGAACGAGATCGCGGATACAAGCGGCCGAAATGAGTTTCCTCCGTAGGGTGGCCGGGCTCAGCCTTAGAGATAGGGTGAGGAGCTCGGACATTCGGGAGGGACTCGGAGTAGAACCGCTGCTCCTCCGGATCGAAAGGAGCCAGTTGAGGTGGTTTGGGCATCTGGTCAGGATGCCTCCTGGATGCCTCCCTGGGGAGGTGTTTCGGGCATGTCCTGCCGGCAGGAGGCCCCCGGGTCGACCCAGGACACGTTGGAGAGGTTACATCTCCAATCTGGTCCGGGAACGCCTTGGGGTCCTGCCGGAGGAGCTGGTGGAGGTGGCCGGGGAGAGGACGGTCTGGAGCTCCCTAGTTGGGATGCTGCCCCCGCGACCCGGACCTGGATAAGCGGAGGAAGACAACGACGAAATTGAAAGTGTACGAAAATACATTTCTTGGATTGATAATTGATGACAAGTTGAGTTGGACGTCTCATATAAATCATGTGAAAACAAAAATGTCAAAAACCATCGCTATACTCTACAAAACAAAGTATGTCCTGAACAAGAAATCATTACACACACTTTATTGTACTCTGTTGCTTCCATATATGACTTATTGTCTTGAGATAAGGGGTAACACATATAAAACAAATACTCTTCCTATTTTCAGGTTACAAAAAAATAGCTATTAGAATTATAAATCAATCTAACTATATGAAACCAACTAACAATATGTTTATTAATCTGAATACCCTGAAATTTTATGATTTAATTGAATTTAAAATAGCACAGATTATGTATAAAGTAGAAAACAACTTGCTTTGCCGCAGTACTCAGAAGCTGTTTAAACTCAGAGTCAATATGACTTAAGAGGAACTGAATCCTTTAACAAAAACAGAATAAGGACAAATGTAAAGCAGAGATGTGTTAACCTGTGGAATAGTTATGACAGTGACTTAAAAAAGGTGTAGTTTATTGTTCTTGTATAAAAACATGTTTAAAAATAGAGTTTTAGACAAATATAAAAACCAAGAATGAAAAGAGCAGAAATTATTCTTCTGAAACTCTTGATTGTTTTGCTTTGATGACGTTACTTACTTAAGGTGGAAAGTTTTTGTTTGTTTGTTTGTTTGTTTATTGCGTGTTTGTTTTGCTTTGTTTCATTTTCTGCATGCAGCTCCCGTGTACTGGAGCTGCATGCAGAAAGATCTTTGTTAGAAGGCTTGGCGTAATAAGCAAATGCTTAAGCCAATACCTTTTGATTAGCCTCATCTTTGTGGTCATTTTTTTTCTTTAATATTTTGTTTTTCACTGAGATATTTGAATGCTAATCAATCAACAAAGATTGAAGTTTTTTGAAAGTTTATGTGTACAGAGATTGGTGGTTAAGGCTACACATTGTCTCCTTAAACCAGATGTGCAGGAGGCCCGTCTGAGGGTTTCTAGAGAGCTGATCCAGAAGAGGACGGGCTCGTATTGCATGGAGCTCTACGGAACGGGCTTGGTGTCAGAATTACCAAGGTAGCATAAGAGAAGACTCCACATGTGGCAACAAGAAGACGTATCACCAGATAAGTCATTCCTTCACTGATCTGTAAAAAAAAATCACACATAAATCCTGAAAGGGGGAAACTCCAGCTTTAAGAGGGCCAATCAGATTTCAGAACACCCTTCTGGCCCCGCCCCTAGAACCACCACTACCTAAAACCTTTTGTCTAATGTTAAAATTAAAACCACTTCACCTTTATTATATTTTATTATTAAATGATGAGCCAATGAATAAAATGGGCATCATCTGTCTGCAGTAGCTTAGGTTGTCCACCAGAGGGCATCAGGGCTGAGGTTTTAGAGGAAGCACTAATCCTGTTAGAGGGAGGAGCTCTAACCAACCTGGGGTTACAGGAATGTTCGGCCAAACTGACGTGTTTCTGTGTAAAAGGAAATAAACATTTAAAAATTCTCACCTGTAAATACTTTCTGAACAGCCTCTGTTCAGAGAAATAGGGCTGATGAGCAAACGGCTCAGTCTAAAACCTTCATAGTTGTTCGTGAAAAGTTGTTTTATGGTCTTTGAATTATGGCAGATTTTACAAAACGATGTCAGTTAAATATGAATTTGTTGTAGACATCAGCAGCAGCTAAGTGCACCTTTTGCTGCTTGTGGGGGCTCCCATCCCGCAGGCCAAGCATTACAAACAAAATTAAAACTGAATAATGTTTTCGGTCTGAAGTCCTGAAATAATTCATGGAAATAATTAGTGTTGGGCAAGCTACTTCCAAACTGTAATGCATTATTTATTACTTGTTACCCTCATTTTAAAGTAATTCATAACATTACAATATTACTGATTTTAAAATGTAAGACATTACACTACTTTTGCATTACTTTAAGTTACTTTCACCAAAACAACTTCAGTATGAATCTGGTAATGTGACGCTCAGTGAGCTCATGACATATATGTGGAAGGTGATGTGGTGTCTGAGCTAGGATTGCTGTTAAAAACAGTCAGATATAATAACAGTGCTTTAAAATGATTGTTTATTAAATAAAAGCAACAACAATCTGTACTCTCAGCACGCTGCCATCTTAGATTAACTGAGCAGGGAGTGAGGTGGTGGGGGCTCCAAGCCTATATTTGCCTTGGTCCCCAAATGCCTTGATACGGCCCTGGATGTGGGACTGACTTCTGGGGTGATCTGATTCTATCACATGTATAAATATTAAATGCTTATATATTATTGCTTTTCACTGGTAAAAATGTGTATCGGGGATAAATCTACCTACTCTTTTTCTTTTCAAGCACTTTGTTTTGTTTTCTAGATTTTATTTGAATAATTTCCGGCCCTTTCTCTAACCTTCCTGCATGCTGCATGTTTTCTCCGTCTTCCAGAAAAACTGTTTCCTAGATTTCCTACTTTCTAACTAATCAGCCAAATGGATCTACCGAACACAAAAAAATAAAAATAAAAGCTTCATCTGCGCTGCGCTCCTGCAGCAATGAGTTGAAATCACCGGGGCACAGATTATGAACTCAGCTGAAAAGTACATGAAGTACCAGAGAATATGGGCTGATATAAACGATCACAAACGAATGACTTTGTTTTGGCAGAGCGATTTTGTGAATATAACAGCGGCCGCGCGCAGGACGCAGCTGGAGTATTTGAGCCGTTACCGCTGCGTCCTCTCTGCTCATAGAATGCCTGCAAAGCTGAGTCCATAAATGACGTCATATATGTGGATACCGGATCTTTTTTCAGGCTTCCCGCAATTAGAATTTTTAGGAAACCCACATCTTGATTCTGGGTTTAAAAATGCATTGTAATTACCGCATTACTGACAACTGTACTGAGTAAATATTACCATTTTTTTCCCTGTAATGCCTTACATTACCACATTACAGCAAAAAGCAATGCATTACAGTAATTAATTACATTTGTACTGCGTTACTCCCAACACTGGAAATAATAAAAAACTAAATTATTCTAGTATAAACCTTCACCGTACGGTAAAATAAGTCCTCTGACCCTCTAAAGTTTAACCCGTTCTCAACTAAATGAAATAAACGTTGGTAGGTCTAACAAACACATTAAAGCAGAAATAAAGTGAGTTGTTGTTTAATAAAACTAAGATTTTAATTAACCGACTGCTATTTTTATCCGTCAAACCAAAATCACCTCCAGCTGAAGCAGAACTCACTGAAGAGACTCAAACACAGTTTTCATGGAAAATAATGTTTATAAAAGTTTCTGTAACTGACAGGAAAGACTAAAACTACACAGGATACAAAAAGACCTGGAAGTGTGAGAGGAAGAAGACAGAAATCACCAAACGCGTTCCGGTTTCAGCTGAAATCCAAACCAATCACCCAACGCTGCAAAGATTCATCAAAACCAACAACAGGAGATCGTTTGCTGCTTTGGCTTCAAGATTAAAGCACTAAATAAATATTTTATGGCTCAAAATTAATAAATAATCTCATCTATGGAGCAGCAGTTTTATCTCCGATAAATACGAACAGATATCAGGTCTGAGGAACGTGCCTGGGACCAGACTAATTCCTGCTTCCTTTCATGGCTCCTTCATCGATAGAAACCATCTAACGTGATTAAAACTATCACCTGATATTAAAACGATATCAACGTTGTTTCATTTTGGCCAAAGAAATATAAATAAGGTGTAAAATCTGATGCTTTCTGACTAAAATGTCTTGAAATATGAATTCAGTTGAGATCAAATCTAACATCCAGATGATTTGAAGTGCATGCAGACAAACCCATGTTCATGATGAAATCCTAAGATCTTCTCTTCACCATCAGATAATGACTGCGTACTTATTCTGTTACAGTAACTATAAAACACCAGAGAGTTAAAAATACTTCATCAGAAACGAGGACGACTGGCGACGGATTCAGGAACACTTTTCGGTTCTGAGCCTTCTCCACTAAAGAAACTAGACTAAAAACCTCGTTGTTTCACGATTAATTAGATTTAAACATGTAGGAATAACTTTACTGGAATCCTTTACACATCATGTGAAGACAACAGGATAAAGTGTTTTTCTTTAGTGAAAAAGCATCAGACTTCCTGTTTCTGATGGGAGTTTTACGCCGAATCCCAAAACTCGCACTTCCACTCCGTCGTAAGAACGGGCTTTTAAGCACACACACAAATGTGAACACCTCTCATAATAATCATTGGATGTTTGTTTTTAGACTTTATTGTGTAACCTATTGGATGTATGCGAGATTGATGGATATATGGCTACTTTGGATTTTTCAATGAGTTGTATGGTTAACAACGGGGTGCGTCAAGGAGGGCTACTGCCACCTGCTCTGTTCAACCTCTACATGGATGATTTGTCAAATCAACACAAGAAATGTAAAGCTGCATGTAGGATTGGTAACAATCTGATTAATCAGCTCGTGTTTGCTGATGACTTGGCCATCATTTCGCCCAGCAGTGCTGGATTTCAGCAGCTGCTAAACCCACGCTCTGAATATGGGCTGAAGTACGACGTGCAGTTTAATGCAAAAAAAGAGTGTTGTGCTGATTTGTCGAACCAAAGGGGATAAGGATCTCTGTTTCCCAGACTTCTACTTGGTCGACAAGATAAGTGTCAGTGACATTTGTATGATTCAGCTCTCAAAGATCGCCGTGATCAACATGTCGTTAATAATTCTTGGAGAGAAATAGCTCGCACTGTCGGAAAAGACGAGGACGCTGTTAAAAAATGCTGGAATGCCATGTTGTAAACAACAGTAATTTTTACGTCTACTATGGTGTAGTGTTGGATGCATGCCGCAGAGCTCCATGCTGCCCCCTACTGTTTGGGAGAATATTGGCTCACCGCAGAGACAAGCCGCATGAACCATAAACGCTGCGAGTTGTGAAGCGCGTTCCGTCCGCGAGCCGCATCACCAAGCAGAAAGTAAATGCATCAAGCATTAACCAAGCTTTAATGTTAAAATTTCAGGAGAACAAAGAGAAAGACTAAGATTTTTTTTAAATATTCATTAAGATAAAAACACTTAGATATTCTCTTCATAACGGTTATAAAAAGCAAACGTGTAGTACCCGCTTTCAGACACTAGAGGGAAGCAACTCCAGATCTTCTCTCTTCTAAATGCTGTCAGGGCATTGTTCTGTTTTTTGCCATTGGAGGGCGCAAATTCCCCGTTCTTTCAAGGCAACAATGCATAGTGTTTGGAAAATTTCAAGAGGAAGTGTTTGTGATGGTTCTGGTGATGATTTTTGTGTCGTGACGAATCTGATACGAAACGGAGCCGAAAATCCGAGTCATTAAAAGCACGCTGGTCAAAAGCAGGTTTCCCAGTAATTAGACGGGTTCATGCTAAAACACAGACCAGGGTCAGTGACAAAGCGAAATATTTGGGTCACATCATCACAGATCAGCTCTGTGACGATGACATTTACCGGCAATGTAGCGCTTTGTATGCCCAAGCCAATATTTTGGTCAGGAAATTCCACACGTGTTCTGATAAGATAAAAATCCACCTTTTTACAACCTACTGCACACCTATGTATACTGCACCTTTGTGGTGTAAGTATAGGAAAGCCAGCTTGCATAAGCTTAAAGTAGCATTCAACGATGCATTTAGGACTCTGCTAGGGAAGCCTCGGTCCTGTAGTGCAAGTCTTTTATTTTGTAATGCTCATGTCGGGACCTTCCAAGCCATAATGAGGAATTTGATGTACAGGTTTATCTTGGGATTGAAGAACTCTAAGAACAGACTTGTGCAGATGCTGGTTGATCCCCATTTTAGTGCAGTGCTTTACCAGTCATCCATGTGGAGACACTGGTATGCATGTCTTTTATAATCTTTTGTATCGTTTTTATGTCTTTTTTTTAATGTGGACCTTGAGTCCGTTAATAAAGTTGAATTGAATATGAATGTATGTTTTTATGTTTTAACCCAGTAAGTGCAATGGCTTTGTGTTTTATTGTCGTATATTAATTCTTGTGCAATTTATTATGCTCATTTAATATAATCTTTCTTCTTAGCCGTCATGTGCTTAGTAGAACATCTTGCCAATGGACTACAGCTGAAAATTAGCCTGCTGGCTAACACCGGCACATTTACAGAATGTTGATTAATGTGCACTGTCCTTAAATAAAAATGGAAACGTGAACGAGGTGCGAGCGCTTAGAGTGTGCCGATTCTCTAGTGCGGAAGTTGATCACGCCCCTTTTGCACCCTAGATCTGCCCTTCATCCAAGGTCGCATCGCTGCAGACTTGGATGAAGTGTATTACTCACAATCCATCACTGCAGGAGAAAAGGCTCAAGTATGTATTTTCTAATGAAAGCAGTTCATTTCAGGACGATTTGTCGATACTCTGAGTGTCTTAAAGCAGCAATGAATGCAAATTTATTTCAAATAACTGTTTGTTTAAAACTTATTAATAAAGGTTTTTGAAAAAAGTAACAGCAACCAGCATCCCGGCATGCGTGGCAGTCGATGACACAACGCTTCCCGTCTCAATTCTGCAGCTATCTACACACTTGTGAGCCACGCACTCGAAGCCTTGTTGCACACTTCCTCCAAGTGCACTTCACAGAAGAGCGTGGGGCGCAGTGCGAGTTTTGGGATTGGGCCTCAGTTCTGTTCTCGTGTCTGCTGGATTACGTCTCCTTTTATCAGCAGAGCACATAAATCTGCATTTCAGTAAAACTGTTCGTGCTCCCAGCCACTAGAAATCATTCAGAGGGCTACAAATGGCCCGCAGGCTGCATGTTGAGCACCCTGGTTTCGTCATTTCAGTAAAACAAAGCTTGTTTTTCTGTGATTCCATAAGATGACGAGACTAGAATCGGAACAGTCAACTCAGGCCATCCAGGCTGGGATGATCCCCGTTGACTCAGAGAAAAAACAAACAGGAATTCTTTATTTTCTTGAAGACGTTTCACTTTCCCAAACCCAGGAGGTCCAACAGGATTTTTGTTCTGTCTTCGCCATCTAATCTGAGCCCTGAACGGAGTCCTGCGGGACACGAGTCAAACAGGAAGTTTGACCAGCTCCAGGAAGGGTTTTCTCTCTCATGGATCAGAAAATAAAACTAAATAAATTTGTTCTGGACTAACAGAGCTCCTTCTGCTCCAAGCTGCTGCAGCAGATCCGTAGGAAACTCTTCCTGTCTCTGGTTCTGGTGTCGCGGCGGTTAAGTCGGTGTTCTTCCCGTGTCCGAGTCAAACTTCCACCATCCGGAAAACATCGGAACATCCTGCGTGTCAAGCTGGACACTTTTTTCTTGTTCTTGCATTTTTCTGCCTGAAAATTCCTCAGATGGGAAGTGAAACGTTTTAAGGAATCAGAAATTTGAACCTTCCGAGACCCTAAATGTCTCGTTTAGCATCATTAGCGAAGGAATGGCTCTCATCGCTCTGCTCCTGAATCCTGCATCCAGCTCGAGTCCAGAGGTGAAAGTGGAGAGGCCGTCTCTCAGAACATTTAATGTACAAAACAACCGTTAACCTTAAATATTATTGTTCTTACTCTAAATACTTATGGCGTTGTCACAGAGCAGCGTACAGTACTCCGGTAGCACGTTAACCAGTCTGGGAAAACTTTAGGAAAACTAACGGACTCTCACCTATAAGTACATCTGTGATATTTTCTGCTAGGATGAAGGGCACAGACGGTTAACTACTGACAAACGCATCTTATCTGGAACAAGTCACTAAAGCATGTAACACCTGACAGGTGTGAACTGGGATTCATCAGGAATCTCTAACCCTAACCCATGGATGAGGAAAAGTTCATTCCTCAGAAAAGTAACGTGTGCAGTTGTCCCCGGGAAGCCCTTCGTCGGTCTGAAGCACAGCTGGCCTTGAAAGGTCACGCTAGCGTGTTTTATAGTGGGTTACAAACAGAATGGATCAAGATGGACGCCGGTTAGAATAATTCCAGTTAAGGTCCCAAAAGAAGAGGAGGAGGAGGAATGAGGGTCCCGAATCCGAACAGCTGCTCTGATTGTGCTTTACCAGAGTCGTATCAGTTCTCTGCTCTTCAGCAGGTCCCAGATCAGATCCAAACAGGAGGTCATAAATGAGGAGAACCGGATCGCTGCTCTGGAGAACAGAGGCTAAACGGCGGTCAGGAAAAGTTCCAGGCCCTCTTCCTCTACTGCATGTTGGACTAAACAAGACAAGAACATCGGTGACAGAGACATGTGCGTACCTGCCGCACACCTAACACCCCCAGTTTTGTTAGGATGAAGAGAAACAAGTTTCAGTCTTCCTGCCTCCGTCTGAGCCCGCTTCATCCCAGTGGGGGAAGGAAGGCTACCCCAGCTGTATGTGTCCTGAATACATGGTGAGAAGGAGCATGATGGAGAATCCCGTCAGCAGGCCCGCGTTCTGGATGCCGAAGGTGATGAGGAACCTGCTGCCGCCCGCATCCTCTTCCTCACGACTCACCTCGTTCATCTCTGGAAACTGAGACACAAAACGTGCGATGAAAACTCGGAATCACGCCACGAATTCTCTAATCAGGAATCCAGATCAGTTCGGTTTATGTCTACAGCACCGAAACAGGACCAGTCGTCTCGAGGACCTTCACACAGTAAACAATACCCGTCAGGTCATTAGGCCAATCAGTAACAAGTTTCCTATATAAGGAACCCAGCAGGTTGCATCGAGTCACTGACTAGTGTCAGGGTCTTTACCGCAATCCTCATACTAAGCAAGCATGCCGCGACAGTGGAGAGGAAAACTCCCTTTTAACAGGAAGAAACCTCCAGAGGATCCTGGCTCAGTATAAGCAGCCATCCACCACGACTCACTGGGGATGGAATTATAAAGATGAAAAGGAAAACACAGATGAAGCTAAAGACTCGATTAAAGACTCGTGTCCAAAACGCCTTTGGATTAAAGACTCGTGTCCAAAACGCCGTTAGATCAAAGACTCGTGTCCAAAACGCCGTTGGATTATAGACTCGTGTCCAAAACGCCGTTAGATCAAAGACTCATGTCCAAAACGCCTTTGGATTAAAGACTCGTGTCCAAAACGCCGTTAGATCAAAGACTCATGTCCAAAACGCCGTTGGATTAAAGACTCGTGTCCAAAATGCCGTTGGATTAAAGACTCGTGTCCAAAACGCCGTTGGATTAGACTCGTGTCCAAAACGCAGTTGGATTAGACTCGTGTCCAAAACGCCGTTAGATCAAAGACTCGTGTCCAAAACGCCAATGGATTAAAGACTCATGTCCAAAACGCCGTTGGATTAAAGACTCGTGTCCAAAACGCCATTGGATTAGACTCGTGTCCAAAACGCCGTTGGATTAGACTCGTGTCCAAAACGCCGTTGGATTAGACTCGTGTCCAAAACGCCGTTGGATTAGACTCGTGTACAAAACGTCGTTGGATCAAAGACTCGTGTCCAAAACGTCGTTGAATTAGACTCGTGTCCACAACGCCGTTGGATCAAAGACTCATGTCCAAAACGCCGTTGGATCAAAGACTCGTGTCCAAAACGCCGTTGGATTCAAGACTCGTGTCCAAAACGCTGATGGATTAAAGACTCGTGTCCAAAACGCCGATGGATTAAAGACTCGTGTCCAAAACGCAGTTGAATTAGACTCGTGTCCACAACGCCGTTGGATCAAAGACTCGTGTCCAAAACGCCGTTGGATTCAAGACTCGTGTCCAAAACGCCGATGGATTAAAGACTCGTGTCCAAAACGCCGATGGATTAAAGACTCGTGTCCAAAACGCTGATGGATTAAAGACTCGTGTCCACAACGCCGTTGGATTAAAGACTCGTGTCCAAAACGCCGTTGGATTAAAGACTCGTGTCCAAAACGCAGAAGGATTAAAGACTCGTGTCCAAAACGCAGTTGGATTAAAGACTCGTGTCCAAAACGCCGTTGGATTAAAGACTCGTGTCCAAAACGCAGAAGGATTAAAGACTCATGTCCAAAATGCCATTGGATTAGACTTGTGTCCACAACGCCGTTGGATCAAAGACTCGTGTCCAAAACGCCGATGGATTAAAGACTCGTGTCCACAACGCCGTTGGATCAAAGACTCGTGTCCACAACGCCGTTGGATCAAAGACTCGTGTCCAAAACGCTGTTGGATTAAAGACTCGTGTCCAAAACGCCGATGGATTAAAGACTCGTGTCCACAACGCCGTTGGATCAAAGACTCGTGTCCAAAACGCAGAAGGATTAAAGACTCGTGTCCAAAATGCCGTTGGATTAGACTCGTGTCCACAACGCCGTTGGATCAAAGACTCGTGTCCAAAACGCCGTTGGATTAAAGACTTGTGTCCAAAACACCGTTGGATTAAAGACTCGTGTCCAAAACGCCGATGGATTAAAGACTCGTGTCCAAAACGCCGATGGATTAAAGACTTGTGTCCAAAACGCCGATAGATTAAAGACTCGTGTCCAAAACGCCGTTGGATTAAAGACTTGTGTCCAAAACGCCGTTGGATTAAAGACTTGTGTCCAAAACGCCGATAGATTAAAGACTCGTGTCCAAAACGCCGTTGGATTAAAGACTTGTGTCCAAAACGCCGTTGGATTAAAGACTCGTGTCCAAAACTCCGTTGGATCAAAGACTCGTGTCCAAAACGCCGTTGGATTAAAGACTCGTGTCCAAAACGCTGTTGGATTAAAGACTTGTGGGTTCAGCTCAAGTACCTCCTTTAACTTTAAAATCCTTCTTTGTGCTCCTCCTCCTTCTCCTTAATGTTAAAATTCCCAGGAGAACAAAAAGAAAGATTAAGATTTTTTTAAAGCTTCATTAAGATAAAAACACTTAGATATTCTCTTCATAACGGTTCTAAAAAACAAACGTGTAGTACCCGCTTTTAGACACTAGAGGGAAGCAACTCCAGATCTTCTCTCTTCTAAATGGTGTCAGGGCGTTGTTCTGTTTTTGCCAGTGGAGGGCGCAAATTCCCCATTCTTTCAAGGCAACAATGCAGTGTTTGGCTAAATTCAGAGGACGTGTTTGTGATGGTTCTGGTGATGATTTTTGTGTCGTGACAAATCTGATATGAAACGGAGCCGAAAGTCCGAGTCATTAAAAGCACGCTGGTCAAAAGCAGGTTTCCCAGTAATTAGACGGGTTCGTGCTAAAACCCAGACGAGGGTCTGGGGTTGTGTTGCGTGAGACACATAAAAGCTGAACCCTTCTAAAGCGCATTAAAGAATTCAAATCAAGCCTGGATCACTTTTAAAAGTCAGAACTCTAAGATTAGACCTGTTTCAGAGTCAGTCAGCTATTTTCTCTTCATAAATATTTACTATTGGAGATTTGTTGACATTTTAGAAAAAAAACACTGTTTAGTTTCTAAATTAAGGAAAAAACTTCTAAGTGTGGCTAATTTTAAATGGAATGCTGCTATTAGTAGAAAATTAATAAAAAGAAAACAAATAAATCTAGAAACATGACTGGTTGTTTTAGTGTCACTCCTAAAAGCTGCTTAAATCTGTATTTTATATTGTAGGTCTTTGTTTTCAATGGGAGTTTTATCATGAAGCCATCCAGAGCCACTGCACCAGGTCCAAAGAGCCGGAGTGAAGCTTCTGCTGCTCACTTGAATATAACAGACACCAAGTTTATGATGATGATGCATATTTAATAATAATAATAATAATAATAATAATAATAGTTATGTTACAGCTAAAGGGCAGAATAGAAGTTTTTTTTCTTTCCAGAGACGTGGGTCGCACTGGAATGTCACGTTCTTCTCTATCCCACGTCTGGTGAGTTGGGATCTGGTCATCCTGACTGGAGTAGAAGGTAGCTTCAGACGACAGGATATGGAGTCTTACTTCCTGATATGTGGACATCTCTCCTCTGATTGGCTAACAGCAACACGACTCTACCACTGACTGTCTGCTCTGCAACGATGATGTTTCATCTCCACAAATAACACAAGCCTGGAGGAGTTCTGCTGTGTGGTGGAGTTGCTAATGCTAACAGTTAGCTTCTACTAGCTGAGACGTTCTCTGCTGTTTCCTGGACTAAACCAACAACAGCCTTCCCCGTTGTGAGTCCAGATGGGTGAATCATGAATGTTAGTGACAGGGTGACGTAGATCTGTCAGGATTTTCTATCCTAGAGTTTCACCGTCTGTTTTCTATCAGAAGCTACTGCAGGAGATAGATGTAGGAGACTATTTTCATGTTCAGCCTGCATGAAACACTCAGAGTGACCCATTAGAATCAGAGATAATCACTAAAACGTGGTTTCTCAGCGAAGGACCTCTCATTTATCGCTGAGACGGTAAAAATAAATAATTCACTATAAAATACATTTAAATGTTACGGCCTGCTTCCTGAAACATTTGGACTTTGCTGATATAACAGCTGATGATCAAATACCCACCATGTCAGCCAGCGCGATGTAGAGGAACATTCCTCCAGCCAGAGCAAAGATCCAGTTGGGAGAGAAGCTGTTCCCAGCCAAGATGCCAAATCCCATTCCCAGGTAGCAGCAGCATGCCGACAGGAAGTTAAAGAACAGAGCCTGCTGGATACTCATCCCAGCATTCAGCAGGATGACAAAGTCTCCTGTTCACAAAACCAGAAGACTCGTTTTAGTTCTGCAACGACGGCTGTGGGACCAAACACTTTATTTTTAGGGAAGTTTTTCATTTTACATTCCTTCTGGTCCCGACCCGACTCACCCAGCTCGTGTGGGAACTCCTCACACAGGATGGCCACGGAGGTGCTGATGCCCTGGAACACAGAGGCGGTGAAGGACGCCCCGATGGCCAAACCGTCTATAAAGTTGTGCAGGCCGTCGCTCAGCGTGATCATCCAGGCCAGCGTGCCGATGTCAGAGTAGGTGGTTCCCTTCAGCCAATAGCAGCCGCCGCCACTGGTCCCAGACCGGGCCCCGCTTTCTGGACTCGGAGTCTCCTGAGACACAAACAGGATTTAGTCCAATCACTACTACTTTTACAAAGAAAGTGACCAATCAGAAGCAAGATGTTCAGCACTGGAAGATCAGATGTTGCCACTAAAATGGGAGCATTGAACAAATTTGGCAGAAAGGTTTTTCCACCAGGAGCAACAAAACAAGTCATGATGAATGACCCGCATCTGTCCAGCACCTGTCAGAGTCAGAGGACTCCAAAACGCTTTACAACTCAGTGCATCATTCATCCATTCACACACTGATGGTGATGAGCTACGATGTAGCCACAGCTACCACAGGTACTACCGGTCCCTCCGACCACCCCCAGCAGGCAAGGGGGTTCGGTGTCTTGCCCAAGGACACAACAGCAGAATTCTCTGTCCAGAGCTGGGATCGAACCTGCAACCTTCCCATTACTGGAACGCCCGCTGTACCTCCTGTCCCAGCTGTGGGGGCCATAGGGGGTGCCCTGTGGGGGTACGAGGTCCCTGTATGACCGGAGTCAGAGCAGCACGCCTGTCTCGAGGATGTTTTATCTGTGACAGCTGAGAAAACTCAGCACACCAAGCACGATGGCGGTCCAGCTTTATACGGCCATCGTGGAGTCATCCTCGCCTCCATCACTGTGGTGCACGGGTGCCACTGCCAGCAGGCATGGGCAACGACTGCAACGTGTCGTGTGGTCAGCAGAAAAGGTGAGTCGGACGCAGCCTCTCATCTGACGAGCTCTGAGACGCACAGGTCAGGTTACAGCTGACCCCTCTCACCCTAGTCATGGACCCTCCGGGAGGAGGTTCAGGTCCTTACGGACTAGACCGTCACACCACAAAAACAGCTTCCTCCCCTCTGCCTCTAGACTCACTGACTATGTTGATTATTTCAGACGCATTCTAGCTTATACATCACCTGACTTGTATGGATGTTTGCACTTTTCAACCCAAACAAAATCCTAGTAGAGGCGACTCTCGCCTGCATGGCAACAAGCCTGAATCTGCTGAGTGTTTCCTGCTCGTTGACTACCTGTGGCGTCTGTGCGGGGCTGAGCATCAGCTCTCCCTCCCCGGCATCCAGCTTCCCCTGAGCCAGACTGCCGGCTGCTCCGTTCTGCTGCAGCTTCTCCCCCTCCTCCTCCACATCCCGGTCCGGAGCAGAGTAGTGACTGTGGCCGTGGCCCTGAGAACGAAAGGGTGAGGAAGAAAAAATAAAAACATGTTTTATGTATAAAACAATCCAGCAACAAAAACTTCATCTCATTTTACTATTTTTATTCTTTCCCATTTCTCAGCATGAATGGTTATAATTATGAGCAGTAAAACAGTAAAGAGAGGAGAGGAGCTCCTCCGGCTGCAGCATCAGGTGTTTGTTTAGGACGAGGAGCTCCAGAAAACAACCACAAGGTGGCGCCGCTGCCCTACAATCAGCCTCCAGCTGCTGTTTCGATGCTCCTTCTGTGTGTAACTTAATAATCCATCACTTAGTTTTTGTTACACAGCTTAGAAAAAACGTGGTTTTTACCCGACATGTTCTGGCTGAAGACTCTAGCCACAGACTCATCAAAATATTTAGTTTTAAACTGTTTCTGGTGGGCAAAACAAGCCAAACTAAACCAAAATCTAACTAATTCAAGGTAAATGAGAAGTAGTAGTTTGAATTCTAAACCAACAGGCAGAACAAACATCAACCAACAGGAAAAGGCATAGGAAACGGGTAACGAGCTGCAGATTGACTCGTTTATTTATGTTTCTGTCGATGGAAACTTTTAAATCACGTAAATGATTTAAGATCTGAGAGCGCAGACCCAGACAGAGACCCATTTGTTTTCAGGATGAAAGTCAGGGAAGAACAAAACGACGTGTTTGTTTGTTGCTTATTTCATGACTTTCTCTGGTAAAATGAAAAATGAAACGGTCAGACTTGATAGCGGATTTGTGGTGAATCGTTTTGAAAGCATAAGGCAAATAATTTGTTTTTCCAGGGAATGTTTCAACGGTGAGGTGAAACGTTAAAGAGCAAGTCACCCCCAAATCAACTTTTTTTCCTGATAAACTGTATAAATGCGTGTCTAATCGTGCTGCAGACACGTGGAGTCGATAGTTTTGCACTTTAGTGCATTTTAGTTAAAATTTTAATTTTCTGCCCAAAACTGTCAGTGTTGTGCCGTTGTCAGGTAAAAACTCTGCACTGCATTTGAATTTAAATCTGCCATCGCTATTGGCTAAGAGGTACCCAGAATGTTAGCTGGTACCATATGATGTCACAATGTCGTTGTGAGCCTGTGTGTGTGTGTGTGTGTGTGTGTGTGTGTGTGTGTGTGTTAATGGTTCCGCCCTCTCGGTCTGCTAGGCAACAGCATTTGTTGCATTTTTCAAACAGGAAGTGGGAGTGGAGTAATACTCTGGTAGGGGGTGACTTGCTCTTTAACATACGCCGACGTTTTCCAGATGATCTGAGTTTTACATTTACAGAAACCCATTTATAGTCTGGAAACAATTTTCCTGTCCTTTTCTTATTCCTAGACTTGTCCAAACCTGAAAATCCCTACTTCTTATGTTTGTGTAGGAATTCTGTCTGGATCCGAGTCAGATTCCGAACTCGGAAGCAAAGAAAGTTTGGTAATGTTTTGAAGAGCCGACGGGTTTCTTAACGTTAACAGTCGTCCTGTAGGCGAGTAGCAGACCCGCAGAACCAAATCTGCTACAGTTTGTCTGGATTTCAGGGCTGGAAAATTACAGGAATCTGTTGGGATTATTCATGCATTTAATTATGATTTACTTAAGAAATTTCCATCATTTTATTAAGGATTTAGTTGTAAATTAGCCTTTTTTCATTTGGTTCAGATGAAGGTGGTTTGTAGTTGTGTTACTGGTTCAGGTCCAGGGTTTTATTTATGTGTGAAGAGGTTTAATGGATGGACAGTTTCCTTTTGCTCTGTTTCCTAAGAAGTGTGTGTTTCTGTTCGGCCCCCGCTAGAAACCTCCTCCGCTCCGCTCGGCTCGCCGGCTGCATTTGGGGCTTTGGTTCTGACGGTTTCCTCTCGTTCTAACCTGAAGCAGCTTTTGGGACCAGCTCTATGGGAACATTTTCTTTAACAGGTGATAAAATCACAGCTTCTGTTACGAGCCGCTCTGGACCCTTTAAGACGAGCATCGGGTCAAAACCTCACCCCGTTCTTTTGCTTCAGGAGAACCTTGAGAACTTTTTCTGTGAAGAAAAAGAGATAGAAGCCACCGAAGACCACCGCAGATTTGGATACGTAGAAGTCCACCAGTGGGTCGAAACCAAAAGCCTGTTAGAAAACAAATTAATCAGTGAAAACTAGAAAGATAACGACAGAGTTATTCCACATCTGACCTCAGTCCGAGTCTGGATTTTACTAAAAGGCTCCTTAAATGTGTCTGAGTCAAGTTTCTGAACGATTCAGGATTTTATCCTGTTAGAACTAAAACCAGGGCTCACCAGTAGAAACATAAATCAGCATGTATCTGAGAATAAGGACAAAATAACAAAAACATTTTTGAGATTAAAGGTGCAATATGTAAGAATATAGTGAGAATTTCACAGTGAGAAAATCCCAAGAGAGTCGGATGTTTCAGCCATGTTGGAAGGAAGGTTCTACTGAAACATGTTTCATACCCATCTGGCCGCTGGATTGTCCATTTTTCTCCTTTCAAAACAAAGAAAGGAGGGACGTAATGACTGTTTACCATGGGGGAGGGTTCCTCCTACAAGCTAATACTGCAGCTCAGACTATTGTCCGGCCGGCAAAAAGCTCCAGAGTTGCTTAAAGTGGCTCCAGTTACCACATTTTACCACAGAATGTTATTTTAACTTAATTTCTACATAATGCACCTTTAACTCATTCACCGCCATTGGCGACTAAAGTCGTCATTTACATTTTTTACTGTGTGGGCGTCGGACGAGCCCCCACGCTGTGAGAACAAACATTCAGTTCTAAAGCCGATCTTCATCCGCATACGTCACACGTCACATGATCAGGAAGCAGAACATCCATGTGTTAGGAGATCGTTTTGGGCCGCTGCTGTTAAAAAAAGTGAGGCGCGAACCGGAAAAGCTTCTGCCGATCACAATTCAACAACGGATTATGAAAGAACGGATAACGCTCAAAACGCGCGGATTCTTCCTGATGTAAGACGTGAGTCTCTGCATTGTTTTGGCGTCGACATCATCCTAGCGCGCAACGTTCTGTGACTCTTAAAAAAACAGTGAAATTTCTGAAAAACGCTGACAGCCAAGGGTGTTACCGATCAGGACACGGCTGGCAGTGAATGAGTTAAGAACAACAACCTAAAATACCCATATTGCCTTGTGTTAAACACTGGATAATAAAAAGTCTCTGTAGGGTGAGACACCAGATCCTGATCACATGATTAAATCCTTAATTTTCAGCTTAAATTAGAAACTTTTAGGAGTTGAACATAAATTTTAAAAGCTTCCAGATGTTCAGGCATTTTACCACAAATAATAAAATATAAAGTCTGAATGTTCTGAAACCACCTTTAGGGCTCTTATTGTGAAAGGTTCTGAGTGGATGCTGCGTTACACCAAGCATAAACTTTAACCTTCAAACAGAAAATCCTTTTCCATCTGAGTGGAACTAACCAGTCATGCTGATGACCGTCGGTGGTAAATGAACGTTCTGTTTCATGAATAACGATCGATAACTCCATCTTTAACTCCTTTAAGCTGCTCAAATATTCCATAAGAGGCTTGGAGCTCAACGATAAATCTATTTGTCTCCGTTTTTGGAAAAATTAATCGCTCCGAGCTCATCGGCAAATATTTATTTATGCATTTCGTCGCATTAATGCAAGCGCGAGCGTGTGTGAGACTGGAGGAGGGTGTGTTGAATGGTTTCAGAACATCAGACCACTTAAAGAGTCCTAATGTAAAGACAAATGTCTGAAAGGTCTCCATGTGACTCGTCTTACACACCTAAAAATCCAGTTCTGACTTAAATATTCATCTTATTGTCATCTGCTAGAGCTGCACAATATATCGTAAATATATCGTTATCGCGATATCAGCATGCACAATATGCATATCGCAAAGAACAAGTAAATATCGCAAAGAATGGTCAGCCCAAATGTTTGCTACACTTGATGCGTTCTGTCAATCAAACGGAAGCATTTTGTTTATCTAACAAACCAAATAGAGCTCTTCACCCATTTGGCCAATTGGGTGGGTTCTCGTAGGTTAGAGTCCCGCCCCCGACACTTAATTTTGATGGTTAGCAAACACCTGAGTTAGCTTTGTTCCGCTCTTTCTGCTGATTCTGCTTTTCCCGGGATCCACTGATCGCCTTTTCGTGTTTATTTTCCCTTTCCTCACATCTTTAGCTTTTCTCATTTTTATGATTTATTTATTTTTGATTATTTTTGTTCCCGAGTTAAGTTTTTATTCATCGCAAGTGATCTCGTCATCGCAATTTTAATCACTGTTACCGCATGTCGCAGGTTTTCCTAATATGGTGCAGCCCTACCATCAGGTAATAAAAAATACAGAAAAACAACCACAGATGTTATTCAACAGCTTTAGAATAAAGGTGAAGCTCATATTTAACAGATTTTTTTATATTTTTGTTTGCTCTAAATATGAGTTCAACATCCCAAAATAATGACGAGTCATGAAGTAGATCGTGTGCTGTTTGCAGGCTTGAGTTACAAAAACAGCACCAACTGGTGACATTGGAGTCATAAACGTCCCAGCGAGTGTTTTTGACATGATGTGAAACCATCACTCAGCATGTTTCGATGGAGCCAGTTTCCCCGAGGCCGTGTGAGTCGCCGCGGCAACACGTTACCTCTGGGATGAGCTGAAACAGAGCGTTGGAGTACAGCGTGCCGATGGCCAGGGCTATGAAGTACAGCAGCAGCCGCTTGTAAAAGGTTTTCCTCATGAAGGGCACCACACTCGCCCCGATCAGCGAGCACAGAGAGATCAGCGTCACACACAGGATCCCATAACCCCACACTGATCAGAGGAGAGCGGCGGAGGAGAGAGGGAGGGAGAGAGAGACAGGTAGTTAGATCTGATTAAATCCCAAGCATAGGAGACACCATTAATTAACCCTAGGAGGAGAGGACTGAATGATGATCCCTCTGCAGAGACAAGAAGCTCCTTATCCTGGGAAAAGTGACACCAGCTTCCTGCATCTGGACGGAATAATCAGCTCCTCTGGGAAACGGCATTTAAGCTCAGAGCCGTTCCTTCTGATCAGCCAGAGGAGAATGAGGTAAATTACACAGAACCAGTGACCCAAAGCGCTCCGGTGTGACCTCTGAGTAAACACCGGCCCCCCCACCACGGGTTTATGCTGCAGCCGTAGAAAACAAGAATCAAGCCCAGAAGACAGGAAAAGACTGAACGCTGGCGGAAGGAGCCAAAAATGATGCTGGAAGTCAAACCTCAGGCAGGAGCTGCAGCACGGCAGTGGAGAAGAGCGTGCCGACGGCGAGAGCGATGAAAAAGCTGAGAATGTGTTTCATAAAACTCGTCTTCAGCAGCGGGATGATGAAGAGTCCGGTGAGGGCGAAGGCATTGATCACCGTCACGCTCAAGAAAGAAAAGCCCCACACTGGTGTCGGGATGAAGAGCAACAGTAAAACACAGCTTTACATTTCAGACAACTCAGTCAGTCCACCTTAAATCAGTCCACCTTAAAAGGATTCCTTTTAACGTTATCAGCTTAGAATAACGACAGAAAACCAAAAAGGTTTTTCATTAAAGTAAAACAACAGAAACGTTCCACGAATGAGTTCAGCTGAAAACAACAAGGGCCGCTTTCCATTTAGCAGTTTCACAAACCCTAAGCTGTGTCTGTTTACTCAGACGTGTTAATAAAACAACACGTCAACTTCCTGCTGCTATCCCCCTAACACACACACACACACACACACACACACACACACACACACACACACACACACACACACACACACACACACACACACACACACACACACACACACACACACACACACACACACACACACACACACACACACACACACACACACACACACACACACACACACACACACACACACACAAAACCCCAGAAGAAGCAGAGGAAATAAAAACAGCACATTTGAATCGAGCCGCTTTTCATTAAAAAATGCAGAAACCTTCACCGACTCAGCACCATTGACCTGGTCTCATTCCACTTCTTTTGGTCTAAACCTGTTTAACGTTCTCTTTGAACTGGAGCTTTTCTTTCTGCAGAATCAACCTGGATCTCCCCACACCTGAGCTACAAAAATGGAATGCGGCCCTTGCTTAAACGCCTGTGCTGCTATTTATTTCACTATTGTCTAAAGAGAAACTAACATATTTTTAGTTCTTATGGTGAAAGAGAACCTGTTGGGATTCAAATAAATCAAGTTAAAAAGCTCACAGGTGATTTAGGGCTGAAAAGCATTAAATCGTGTTTAAACTGAAGTTGAAATCCCCTCCATTTCCCTCGAAGGCTGCTGCACCTGTAAAGTTTAGGAAATGATATTTAAACGGGACAAGGTGAGGCTTCTCTTGACTGATAACACAGGCCTGATGCTTTTGCTGTCCTAGATGCTCCTCCGTCTGGTCGCTCAGCTCGTCGGCGTTAAGCTGTGAAATTAAATTTACCAGACAGTTCAGACAGAGACGGGTTCATCTGCACAGAGACAGAAAAACCCTCCTAAAGAAAGTCTTGCTAGTTAAAGGGACATTATGGAAGTTTAACAGCCAAAACATGTATAGAAATAATAAATGTCTTCTTCATACATTCTCCTGCAATGTCCTGGTCATGTAGAATGAGCCCTGGCATTTTTACTGTGATTGCCCAAGTGGTGCTCGCTGCAGAACCACAAAGGCGGAGCTGCACCAGAAGGTGGAGCTGCACCAGAGTCAGCCCCGCCCATTCCAGAATCAGCCCCGCCCATTCTATCGGAGTCAGTCCAATTCCTTCCAGTTGTCAAGACTTTATAGCATTCTGGAACCAAAGAGGGTGTTATAGCTAAAAAATGCAAGATTGGGGAGGGAGTTGAGAAGTGAATTGAACAGTTTTTGTAAAGGTTCCATATAATTAAAAATCTAACTTTTGGAACTTTTAATCATGTTATATTGTCATTTCCTCATAAGAAACACGCCAAAGCCATTTTTGGCCTCATTCATGCATTTTCTTCCCATCTCAGCTTCAATTTGGTCTCCTCCCCCAAAGCGGGTCTGGTCTTGGTTCTCAAATCTGGATATTCTGTGAATTTTCTGACAAATTATTTCTGAAATGACTTCTACTGAGACAACGCCAGAAAAACCATACATCCCATCTACAAAGACACACCAAATAACATAATAAAATAAAACGCCCCCTAAGTTTTATCAGAAATGGTGGTGTAGTGGTGATGGTGTCAGGTTGACATGCAGTTTTGCGCAGGTTCGCCTCCCAGCAGTGGAAATATTCTATAATCTATTTTCCTCATTTCTAGCTACACTTGCCAGTACTATGTTTACAACAATTTATTGGTATGCCGTTTAACATATAATGACTAATGTGTTTTTTTTATTTATTCATTCGTTTATTTAGCCAGTGTGAGTCCATCTGTGAGCAGAGTTTCAACTAAAATGCTGTTTAGGAACGACCAAATTCAAAGAACTTGTAGAGACATAAATATTTTGCTGAAAATGAACATTACAACTAAAATATGAACAAATTAAATGTTTCAGCTGGCTGAATAGATTGTTAACGACCCCACCGAGAATCGAACCAGCATCAGCTGAGGGGAAAGCAAAACGTAAGTCAGACGATCTTGCCACTGGACTACCAGAACCCACAGGGAGAGGATACATGCTGTTGTACAGGACTTTTGTTAGAGCGGCTGTGGGCAGATATTCGCTACGAGAAACCTTTTTATTTCGGGATATATTCAGACTTTGTCATGTAGCAAGTTATATTTATCTTGTTTAACTGGAGCACAGAACATAGCATTAACGACTGTAAACTAGTAACAGCCGTAATTCATGTGGGTCAGGTCAGTTTGCGATAAAGTTGAAAACAAAAACGGAAGTCAGTGGGCTAGGCTGAGTTTGGGTGAATGGGCGGGGTTGACTCTGGTGCAGCTCCACCTTATGGTGCAGCTCCGCCTTTGTAGTTCTGCAGCGAGCACCCTCTCTGATTGCCTGCTTTTCTGTAAAATCACAGAAAAAGAGAGATGCTCGGGTCGAGCAGGCTGCTTCATGCGCGTTCACACTCAGGCATCGCCCGTAGCATTTGCTATCCGTAGCTTTAGCAGCAGAGAGAGAGGCAGTGCCACTTTGTCGCTGTTCCTAACGCCTAGTGACAAAGCTAGCTACATTTCTGAGGACCCTTAGCTACTTTCTGTAGAACTTTCTTCTAGATATTTCCTGCAAATTAGCAACAAAATAGCCATTTTCACTCTGAACCGTTCTTTGAACGTTGTTTCAGGTGTCAGACGTCAGACTCCCGTGCAGAAGACCTGGGTTCGATTCCGGATGTGAACATAGTTTAGAGTTTCTTTTTTACATTAATGGTATACTTTTTTACAGTAAGATGCCCATTTTTTTCTTTGAGACTCGCCGAACGGCATTGAATTCACAGATAAAAAAGATGTGGGTTCAACTTTCATTTTGAAACAATTTTTCAAGCAAGAAAAGGGAATGATCTGAGCATGCAGGAGGACTGACCCATCTTAAGCTTGGTTTATGCTTGACGCATTCACTTTCCGCTTGGTGATGCGGCTCGCAGCTGGAACGCGCTTCACAACGCGCAGCGTTTATGGTTCATGCGGCTTGTCTCTGCGGTGAGCCAATATTCTCCCAAACTGTAGGGGGCAGCATGGAGCTCTACGGCATGCATCCAACACTACACCATAGTAGAAGTAGAAATTACTGTTTACAACATGGCATTCCAGCATTTTTTAACAGCGTCCTCGTCTTTTCCGACAGTGCGAGCTATTTCTCTCCAAGAATTATTAACAACATGTTGATCACGGCGATCTTTGAGAGCTGAATCATACAAATGTATGTATTTACGAACCTCTGCCATACTAGTTCTTGCCGGTCCGCCATGTTTTTCCACGTCCGACTGTCCGCGTGGTTAGAAAATTTCCTAGGTGCGCGCTGCGGAAATTTTGGGCCGTGCGGAGGCGCGGTAGAGGGGCGTGGTTGTTAAAATGACGCAACTTTTCCGCACGGAGCCGTGCGGACCTCGCGGACGCGTCAAGCATAAACCAACCTTTAAACCTTTGTTGGCTGTGCTGAAGAGAAAGGTACAGAACCAAATTATTTAATTAAATAGCTGCGTGGTCTCCTGTCCTCTGTCCTCCGGGCCACACACACACACACACACACACACACACACACACACACACGGGACTGTCTCAGCTGTTATTTTCGTTAAGGAGTGTGCACGTACAGCATGCGCGACTCGTGCACGAGCCTACTATTGAAGCTGCCATTACGCTTTTGGCCTGAGGGGGCAATCGCGAGCATAAAAATTCAAAACTCTGTAAAGTCCCTTTAAAACGGAACAGTAAGAAGTGCAGCCGACTAGAATAAAGACGAATAAACTCCAGTAAAGTAACGTTTAGGGAGAAAACATCAACCGTCCTCTCTAGACTCGGCTGATCGCAGGTCAGGATGAGTTAAAGGCTCCTGCAGCTCCTTACAGGGAGGAGTGGGAGGTGAGTCGAGGGCACGAGAGGCTGAAAGGCCAGAGCACCACTCTGGGATACCTCCCTCCTATTGGTCCATTTTTGAGTGACAACGTTTTTATCTACAACAACAAATAAACCTCCAATTCTGTCATTGTTTGTTTTTATAGCAGCTTATTTAAATAAGTTAAAGGTGGTGACCCATCGTCCAGCAGCCCCTCCTGTTTGACCAGGGCGGGGCTTAAAGGACATCCTGGTCAGCTGCTCTGGATGGAGTTACAACAAACCAGCTTCCTGGATCGGATCTCTGCTGCACATGAACTCAGAGCTTCGATCTCTTTGTCTCTACAACAGGAGTCCGACGTGTTGGAGAACTCGTTTAAAACGTTTAAAATAGTGATGCGATTGTTAGAGAACCAGAAACTGCAGGAAGCGTCTGCAGCAAGGCTGCAATAAACTTTACTGAATCAGTCAGTGAGATCCTCATCGTCCAGCTCCAAGGAACCCAAAACTGACCTGAAACCCATCTCATCTGCAGACTCAACACTCAGAAATGATTTTTCCTCCAGTCTGTGAACACACCACAGCTAAAGGGGCTAGTAAAAAAAAAACCTGAGCTACTTGGGAGGAGTTTAAACTCTAAAAAACAAAAGTAGTAAAAAGCTTAAACTATTTTCTTATCAGGTTTCTGATTCATAATTTCATAAATTCATAGTATCCGTTTGCATCCCTAACCCAAAGTCTAATTCAAGCACTTTGAAGATGGTGGAGACGACTAGCCCCTACTGCACACTGGAAGCATCAGCGGTGTGGAACGTCACTGCACTATGTGGGTGGGTGGGGTTTCAAACTGCAGATTTCAGGCGCGTCCCAGAAGCGGCACGCTGCACCGCAAAAGGTGGGATCGGGTTCCCACAGTCATCACAGGGCCAGACAGGAAATCACACATGGCTTCAGTGTAAATCCCCAGTAACTTTCAAAATAAAAGTCTATTGCAGCGCTGCAGCTTCTAATCTATGTAGATTACATCAATACGAGTGACCTAATGGGCTTATTTACTCCTGCATCGTTCCAGAAGTGCAGCGGTGTGTTTTCATGGCTTTAATCCTGGCAGTGGAGAGGAACACCACCATAAGACATCAGACCCGATGTCCTTCTTTTTGGTTTAATGGCGGACAGCATAACCTCGAGGGATTGCGTGATCTTGCGAGTCAAGCGAGGAGCCGCTCTGCAGCTGAGACTCTCCCGCTGTGCACTGAAGTGCAGCGATTGTCGCGAGTAAACCTTTCTGCTGCCGTTCCGCGCTGCTGAATTTTCCGGTGTGCAGTAGGGATAACGCATTCATGAGCAGGAGGTATTTGCTCAAGAGGATCGTTTCCTATTGTGTGCCATAACAGTGAATGATTCTGTGCAAAAACTCATTTCAGTTTCAGTTTTAAGGACTTTCACAACCCCTGAAAGTAAAATTAAAGCATTTTTAAGTAATTCAAGCACTTTTAAGAACCCACGTTTACATATAAGAAGTTTTAAACAGAGTGGCAAGCCTCTTCACCTTCAGCATACGTGGGCCTGGGGGAGGGGTCAGGGCTTGGCTCCTCCTCCTTTTTGCTCTTGCAGCTTCTGGCATCGAGCTGCTGCAGCAGGGTGGGGCACAACCTCTGCAGCCCCTGCTCGTCCAGCCGTGACTGCTCACTGATGCTGTAGATAGCCAGAGTGTCTGCAGGCAAGCACTGGAGACCAGAACACAACCATTAGTCCCACTGGGAAAAGGACTCGGACGGGGGAGCTCTTTATGTGCTTAATAGCTGTTAGCCATTCTCTGTGTCAGTTACAAATATAAAAGCTAGCAGTTAGCTTTTTCAGTTCACCAATCCTCAATGAAAAATACAAAAAGAAGAAATGTTGTTGGCATCATCACCAAGCCTGGAAGTAAGAAAGCAACGTCTGGAGGCAAAGCAAAGAGCTAAAACCAGAGTGAATGTTGGCTACACTAGTTGGAGGGAGCTAAAGGAGGCTACAAAATCACAGACTGATGGTGACCTGGCTTTGTTGCTGCTGATATTGTAAGTAATAATATTTGTTGTCCAACAGTGTGGATCTATTTACTTTGTGGCATATTGAGTATCAAAGTTAGCTCATGCTAGTGTTAGCTTGTTGTTAGCGCTAGCAAAAGCAGGTTGCTGCAAGGCTGTTTATCGTCGTCGTCGTCTTCCTCCGCTTATCCGGGTCCGGGTCGCGGGGGCAGCATCCCAACTAGGGAGCTCCAGACCGTCCTCTCCCCGGCCACCTCCACCAGCTCCTCCGGCAGGACCCCAAGGCGTTCCTGGACCAGATTGGAGATGTAACCTCTCCAACGTGTCCTGGGTCGACCCGGGGGCCTCCTGCCGGCAGGACATGCCCGAAACACCTCCCCAGGGAGGCGTCCAGGAGGCATCCTGACCAGATGCCCAAACCACCTCAACTGGCTCCTTTCGATCTGGAGGAGCAGCGGTTCTACTCCGAGTCCCTCCCGAATGTCCGAGCTCCTCACCCTATCTCTAAGGCTGAGCCCGGCCACCCTACGGAGGAAACTCATTTCGGCCGCTTGTATCCGCGATCTCGTTCTTTCGGTCATTACCCAAAGCTCATGACCATAGGTGAGGATTGAGACATAGATCGACCGGTAAATCGAGAGCCTGGCTTTCTGGCTCAGCTCCCTCTTCACGACAGATCGGCTCAGCGTCCGCATCACTGCAGACGCCGAACCAATCCGCCTGTCGATCTCCCGATCCCTCCTACCCTCACTCGTGAACAAGACCCCGAGATACTTAAACTCCTCCACTTGAGGTAGGACCTCTCCCCCGACCCGGAGTTGGCAAGCCACCCTTTTCCGGTCGAGAACCATGGTCTCAGATTTGGAGGTGCTGATCCTCATCCCAGCCGCTTCACACTCGGCCACGAACTTACCCAGCAAGAGCTGAAGGTCAGAGCTGGATGAAGCTAGGAGGACCACATCATCCGCAAAAAGCAGAGACGAGATTCTCCTGCCACCAAACTCGACACACTCCACACCACGGCTGCGCCTAGAAACTCTGTCCATAAAGGTAATGAACAGAGCCGGTGGCAAAGGGCAGCCCTGGCGGAGTCCAACCCTCACCGGGAACAGGTCCAACTTACTACCAGCTATGCGGACCAAACTCACGCTCCTCTGGTAAAGGGACTGAATGGCCCTTAACAAAAGGCCACCCACCCCATACTTCTGGAGCGTCCCCCACAGGGTGCCCCTGGGGACACGGTCGTAAGCCTTCTCCAAATCCACAAAACACATGTGGATTGGTTGGGCAAACTCCCATGCCCCCTTCATCACCCTTGCAAGGGTATAGAGCTGGTCCACAGTTCCACGGCCAGGACGAAAACCACATTGCTCCTCCTCTATCTGAGATTCAACTATCGATCAGACCCTCCTCTCCAGTACCTTGGAGTAGACCTTTCCAGGGAGGCTGAGGAGTGTGATCCCCCTATAGTTGGAACACACCCTCAGGTCACCCATCTTAAAGATGGGGACCACCACCTTGGTCTGCCACTCCACAGGAACCGCCCCCGATGACCACGCAATGTTGCAGAGGCGTGTCAACCACGACAGCCCTACAACATCCATAGCCTTGAGATACCCAGGACGAATCTCATCTGCACCCGGGGCTGTTTATGACAGCTGTAATTCCACCTTCAACCAGTAGGGCGGAGGAGCAAGAAACTGCTCATCAGTCCGTCTCTATTTTCTGTTTCTGTGAGCAGAAAAGTGAAAATAACTGACGAACCGAAGGCTTTCAAGTTACCCTTCCAGAGAAAGTGTTCACACTTCGGTTCAGGCTGAGTTAGGGAGAAAAATGGGAAATGACGTTTCCATGGTGGCACAGAAAGGAATTCACCTGAACTCGTTCTAAAGGATTCACAACTAAACTAAAACAGGATTGATTTTCACAGGTGATGAACGGTTCTGTTCTGTAGGGCGTTTGTTGGACGGGTCCGACAGGAGTTTTCACTGCAGACTGGTAAACGGGCATGCTGCACGCTGTGACTCACGACGGCTGTGACTCAGCCATTTGTGCAAAAACCGATCCAGCTCGTTAGTCTTCTTCGGTTTCAGAGCAACACATCGATGTCGCACCAAGCATCTGTTTGAACTCGACGTTGAACTTGAACGACCGGTGCAGCCTCATTTCTAACAACTCAGAATCAATCTGTTCCAGAGCAGATCAGCAGTTCTGACTGTAAGCTTGAGAACTATGTGAAGTATTTCAGAACAGCAGAGGACGAGTTCCTCCACTGCTTCAGCGTCTCCTACTGTAAGAGAAAGACTCTGTGGGCGAGACACAACACGGCCAGATGTTGGACTTTTATAGGACTAATCTGCTCAGAGATCAGCAACAAAAGAATAAATGCTTTAGTGTTCACCTTCAGAGGAACAAATAACTGTTTATTTTCTATCTGACATTTAGAAAAGAACCCGCGGTTCCTAAAGTAGGGGTCAGGACCCGTTATGTGCCATGAAACACTAAGTTTGGTCTTCAGATGATCTCCAGGAACTCAAAAATGACTCCTAGCTGGAAACCTGAAGAATAATCACATTTAGAGGTAATATTAGTTTAACCAAGGTTTCCTGATGCCTAGCGTTGTTTTATCTTTGCCGTAATAACTTTGTGGGTCTGAAGATGAAACGATGCTCTAACCACAAAACGGGCGGTCCGTACCTTTGACCTGTTGGTTTTAGGAGGCGTGGCGGTCGTCGTCTGACCCACGTGGCTGACATCTTGGAAGTTTTCACTCTGATCCTGGCTGAGAGCCGCTAGAAGGGAGCGCAGCTGAGGCACTGTGATGGTGCTGTTGTTCCCATAACGGGTCAGCAGGTCCTGGAGCACCTGGGCAGGTGACTGGCTTCCTTCCTGACCGGCTACTCGGCCAACCGGACAGAGAAACAGAATTCCGACCAGGAGGACGGTGATGGGCATGACGTCGTCAGAGGAGGACAGATGTTTTCTGGAAAAGCGTTATAAAAAATTCAAATGCAACTTTATTTAATCAACATTTTTACAGCATCAGTTTTACTTTACTGGGACCACCTGTGTCCCCACGTAAAGACTCCTGCACGTTGATGCTTAACTCCATTTAAATTGGATTATATTAATGTATTCATTTTTATGGTTTTAAATTAAATAAATAAAATAAATTGTGTTTTCTTGTTTGAGATCTAATACGTGTAGAAGGGGAAACAGCTCAGGTCTCAGGATGAGAAACAAAAATCAGATCAATAAATAAACATCCATCGTGACTGCGGGAGCTTAGTCGAATCTTTTCTTCTTCCGTTTGTTTCGTCTCAACTCAGAGCTCATCGGTTTGTTTTTAAGTAAAAACTTTAAAATATTTATTTATATAAAAAATCATAACCATGATATTTTGGACTAAACTGAAACTATGATTCACCAGATCGGCTATCGAGTTCACATTTTTCGGACCGCAACATCGATTTCAGTCAGTAGGGGGCAGAGATGAGCCGTTTACAGAAAGGGGCAGCAGCAGCTCAGGAGGCAGAGCGGGTTGTCCCGCCTTGACCCGCCTTTTCTGCCGGTGGTGCTCGGGGGGTCAGTGCACCCCAGGGCAGCTGCTACATCGTAGCTCATCACCACCGGCTCGTGAACGGGTGGATGACTGTTGCGAAGTGCCTTGGGGGGTTTGTAGGACCCTAAGAAGGTGCTGTACAAACACAGGCCAGTTACCAAATGTATCAAATACGTCTCTCCCCAACATTCAGACTCAAGGCTGATTCATACTGACACTTAGGGATGGGTACCGAATTCGGTACTTTTTAAGGTACCGACCGAATTCCATAGTACCGACCGAGCACCGATTCACGTCATTTCAAACGGTGCCTCGTTTCGGTACCCGTCCATCATAATGAGAACTTGCCAAGACAGCTGCGCATGCGCAAGAGCGTTTTGTCGTCGCTTGCTGTGAACCAGTTGTAAACAGAGCAGCATGGTAGAAAGAACGCACGCTAAAGCTTGGGTCCACTTCACTAAATGTGATGGGTAACTGGGTGATGATGAAACCAGCGACAACGATCTAAGTGAGACATCCTCATCTTAATCTGCTCCGGTAGGTAAATATAATTAGCTTGATATGTTAGCTTCCGTTTCGCTAATGGTGCGTTCGCTTTCTCCTCGGAACTCCGAATATCCGACTAGAACAACATGAACGTGCTCTAAAGTTTGGCTTCACTTTACTAAATGTGACGGGTGAAGACGAAACCAGTGACAACGATCTAAGTGTGAGGCATCATCGTTTTAATCTGCTCCAGCAGCTAAATAAACTGTTTAAGATAACGTTAGCTTGATATGTTAGCTTCCATTGCCACCATTGTTATCAGCTAATGGTGCGTTCGCTTTCTCCTCGGAAATTCTAACTTCCCAGTAGGAAAAATCAAATGAAAAAGGACGGCAAAAGGAATGAAGATACGCAGTAAATTTAGTTCACAGTAAAGATGTTTGCTTCAGTTTAATTATCAGCTTATAAAACTACAAGGACGATGTTAAAATACAAACAGTTGTATGTTATTTATCAAATATTGTTATATATTGAGAAAAATATATATTTAATTATAAAAGAGAATTAAAATAATAAACACTCAAAAGTATCGAAAATTGGTACCGTTAAGTACCGGTATCGATTCCTAGGTACCGGGAATTAGTACCGGATCGATTCAAATGTCAAAGTTACCCATCCATACTGACACTGCTCCAGCATGTCGGATCTGTTGGATCGCCATGATGCTACGTCGTACGGGCGATCAAACTGTGTTGGATCTTGTTGGAACGTCAGTTGGAGTCGAGCTCTATTTTCTAAACATCCTACAACGGCGCTGTATGCTGGACGTCTGTTACTGGTCAGCCAAACACCCCAATGTCATTTCCGGCACGACGTAGCTTCCCTTACAAAATGTAAACAGCGCGAGTGTTGGCACAGTCCTGAAGACATGGAGAAGATGGAGCAGAGTTGTTGGCCTTCTAGCTCAAGCAGCTCCTGCTCAATAAGAATTCGCTCTGTGTCTGTGTCGTCCATCTTTTCGCGTCGCAAATAGTAAACAGTAGTAGGGCAGACACGTCACTACAAGAGTATGCACACCTGCATAGGAGCGCGCCCTCTGCTGTCCTGGTGGAGAATTTCTTCAAAACGCAGACCAATAAGTTAGGAATGCGCCCCCTGTTGTCCTGGTGGAGAATTTCTTCAAAATGCAGACTAATAAGTTAGGAATGCGCCCCGTGCTGTCCTGGTGGAGAATTTCTTCAAAACGCAGACCAATAAGTTAGGAATGCGCCCCCTGCTGTCCTGTTGGAGAATTTCTTCAAAACGCAGACCAATAAGTTAGGAATGCGCCCCCTGCTGTCCTGGTGGAGAATCTCTTCAAAACGCAGACCAATACGTTAGGAATGCGCCCCCTGCTGTCCTGGTGGAGAATTTATTTGCAACAGGTCGGGCCAGTATGAATACAGAGATTCGACCCTAACCCTTTAATATAATACTGTTAATTCTGATTAGTCCTGCTGAACACTTCAAAGGCACCGGGGTCGTGTGTGGAGAGGAGCTTTTATTTCTTCTAAAGGAGAGCCTGGTGTGAATATCAACATGGAAAATAACTATTTGTTGTTCTCCTGATTCGGACGTGTTTATTTGCATATAGAAGAGAGATCTGGCCCCAACTGATCCCTCAGGATACGTGTTGTGGTGCATTTTAATGCTAAAAGCTAACATTCCTACAGGTTTCTGTCGGGTGGTGAGAACACGCGCCGGGGCGAATGATCAAAGCCAGCCTGAGGGGCTTCTCTAAGCGACAAACTCACAACCTTCCACTGAGAATGTCGTTTTAATAATGACGTTAAATTAAAATGCAACTCTGAAGTTTTTATCAGCTGCAGCTCTGACTGGGGTTGAAACGCCAACACTTAAGTCACCACCCTCATGATTACACAGAATCAGTGCAGCCATGTCAGACACGGATTCGGGTCTTTAGCGCACAGCTCCGACTCGTATCAGAGTAAACCAGGAGGGGGGCTGAACAAACACACCCATTCATCTCTGAGCTGTAACGAAAACTCACCTTTTCCTTCTGACCCCTGATGGCAGCGGGGGAGCGTAAAAAGCTGGGTCTAGTGTGGCTGCCCCGAGGCTCTGAGCATGCTGAGGGAAGGCCAGTTACCTGGAAGGTGAGCTGGACTGTGGGAAGAGCGAGAGAAAAGCCCGAGGAGAGTTCCTCTGGAGAGCAGCAGACGGAGGATGAGGAGAGAGAACGGATTATCGGTGGGAGGGACGACTACACTAAACGAAAAGGAGACGTGAAAAAGCTGAACGTCTCGTGTTTCCCTTTTCACTTCTATTCCAGCTGGACCTTCAGACCACAAACGCCTGGATTTCTCACACGTTCCTTGCTGGTTCGTTCCATTTGTTAACGGTCGCAGGTCACTCGACTGTGTGAACAGTAACCAGATAGAAATACGGTCGCTGAAAACATCCAGACCAGCTGCTGCAGAGAAAGCAGCTTGATGAAAACTATCAGGTGTGACTGAGCTAAAAAAACAAGTCTGTGAGCTACACGTTCTGGCTGGGATGCCTTTGAGCAACGCAGCAGTGCTGCTTGGTTGCACTGGCGACATCAGAAAATCCTGATGCATCCAGCAGAACCGGACCAGGCTCAGATTCCACACTTCTCTTTATATTATAGCAACTTTGTGTCCTGATCTGAAAGGTTTGAGTGGGACAAGTACGTGCTGCTTAGAGGTGCACAACTTCTGAACTTTGACCTTTTTACAGCTAACCAACTGGAAAATGAATCACATTTATGAAGAAATATTAAATAACACAAAAACACCCTAAAACATTACAACATGAGAGCGTACAGTCAGTAAAGACGGCGCTCCCAAATCACAATGTAACACTAGAAACACTAGTGTGTGTGTGTGTGTGTGTGTGTGTGTGCGTGCGTGCGTGCGTGTCGTGGTGGATGGCTGCTTATACTGAGCCAGGATCCTCTGGAGGTTTCTTCCAGTTAAAAGGGAGTTTTCCTCTCCACTGTCACTCCAAATCAACATTTTCTTGCTGATAAACTATATAAATGAGTGTCTGATTGTGCTGTAGACAAATGTAATCCATAATTCGGCGCTTTAGTGCATCTTAGTTAAAATTTTAATTTTCTGCCTAAAACTGTCAGCGATGCACCGTCGTCAGGTAAAAACTCAGCACTGCATTTGAATTTAAATCTGCCGTCGCTATTGGCTAAGAGGTACACTATGATGTTAGACGGTACATTATGATGTCACAATGTTTTGAATGTGTGTATTTGTTAGCAGCTCCGCCCTCTCAGTCTGCTAGGCAACAGCATTTGTTGCATTTTTCAAACTGGAAGTGGGAGTAGAGTAAGAATCTGGTAGGGGTGACTTGCTCTTTAAAGCTGCTTTAGCGAATCTACAAAACAAGCTAGATTTTGAATGTAAACATGGTCATGGAACACTCACCCCTCCCCTCAGGTATCTTCCCTGAGATGCTTCTACCAAACCAGAAAGCCACAGTACCAGAGGAAACGAGAGAGCGCTCAACACCAGTCGCCGTTTTCTAGGTCCAAACATCTGTTGTTGTCCGTGACTTCAGATGGTAATTTTCTATTTGGGACTCTGGTAGTTTGCATGGCTGCATGGTGACGCAGTGGTTAGCACTGTTGCCTCGCAGCATAAAGGTTGCAGGTTCGAATCGGCTGCAGCCTTTCTGCGTGGAGTTGCGTGTTCTCCCCATGCATGCGTGGGTTTCCTCCAGGTACTCCGGTTTCCCCCCCAGATCACAACATGCCCTATAAGTTATAAATTAAGATGCTTTGGATAAAAGCGTCTGCCAAATAAATAAACATAAATAAACATAAACATAGTTTGTCCTAAAGCTGAAGCGGTAGCAGCCGGCTGTTTCTCCTCCTCTGATGTTATTGAGCGGAGAACCTC